AATGTTACTGAAATGGCTGGATTGGTCTGAGTGTATGTTTTTTAGGGAGATCAGCAGATAAACTTTTCTTTGGTTCTATCTAGAGTTCTATCAATGAGATCTCTGAGATCTTCTCACTGTCTAGTATAGGTAAGATGGAGATCCTCACTGATTATAGCACACGCCACAATTTTATCTCTCGCCTGAGATATCTGCACCATCTTTGTTTGCATTCAGTTGTCTAGTATCTCTGTCTCTATTTTATTTATACATGATAATAGAAGGTTTCAAAGTGATAGCCCATGTTAGCCTATTTCAAGATATGAAGAAGGGGAAGGAGAGGGGTGGGAAGGAGCAAAGAAAAAAAGGGAAGACTTTCAGCCCCTTAAATTCCTCCCTCTCAGCATAGATCCCAATGAAAGGCTATGAAAGGCTGATTGTGACAGTAGATGGCATCCTACACTGCAGATACAGATTCATAATCTAGAGTGATGGGGTTCAGCTATGCTCTGTATTCACAATTGTGACAAAATTGCCACCATCACAAATTCCTCCCCACCACCACCTAAACAGCCAGCAGCCAAATTAAATCACTGGTGACTGGGGCATCATGGATCAGGATGATATTTCCAGCCCCTTTCCATCAGTGATCTGTGATGGGGCAAAGAATTGCAATAGGGGTAGTGTTTCTGATTGTCACACCAGAGCTCACTGATGGGAGAGAGCTGGAAACATCATCCTACTGAGCTCCAATTGCCAGCAGAACTGACCTCTGTTGCTTGGTGCAACTGCTGGCTATTAAGGTGAGTTTCGGGTGTCAGGTCTCTAGACATGACTCGATTACTCATTCATACTATACCTGTGATATAGGAGCTTGGTGCACATCTTTTTATTCTGTCTCTACCCCATTGACATCCCTGATTATTTTCTCTGTTTTACTTATAGTTGTTGAGGCCCACTGTTGTTGTTTTTTGACATTTGATTTATGATTTGTAGGTTTTCTGATTCTGCATTTGAAATTTACCGATACGTTTAAAACAAGTAGAATTTTTTTTAAAGAAACTCATCACTGTGGCCTACTACTTTTTTGCCCCCATTTGAATGCCATGGCCTACATTAACAGGGGTGTCGGACCCTTGCAGATCTTTAAACTCTCTTCCCAGGGCTACAAAATTAGGATGGCCACTTAGGCATCACTCCAAAAAGTTTGTCACATTTCTATTTACGGGTTAATATATTTTTTTTAAAAAAAAATTGCACACAGTTTATATGCAAATTTTCCACATTTCACCCAGACTGTTTAAACTAATCCATCTAAGGTCAAAAAGTCCAGGAGAGAAGTAGAAATTTAGGGATGATTCCTCAGACCAGCTAGATAGCAAATCATGGGAGAATTGCATTTCCTAAAGGCAATTTTTAAAATGATAAATGTCAAATGTGGATTGTTTTAATATGCATACATCTTATTTGTCTTTTTAAACTGATGTGTATTTTAACTGATGTGTTTTAACTGATGTTGCTTGTCTGCTAATTGTTATTCTTCCTCACTGAATAATAATAATAATAATAATAACAACAACAACAATAATTGGCTAATAACAGTGAGGGCACCGACATTTAAAGAGAAACATGATGTATCCCACCTGACTGGGGAAGGTTGGGCCAGATGACCTCTATATCTTTAACTCCTGGGTCCCTCCTCTCCCATCTCATAAAACTCTGATCTTGAAACTCGTTTTGCAGCAGGCAGTCTTCACACAGATTGATACCTTCAGGTACAGAAATGTCTTCCAAACATGAGGACCCATCACCACCTTTCCAACAATCCTGTTACTCTTGTGTCTGCTGTAAATTGTTCAGAGTCCATTTGTCCACAGTTTACTTGGATCTATAAAGGAACTTCTGAGCTATACAGTATCAACTGCGGTTGCAGCTTTGTTTGCCGTGGCACTTTCCTGTTTTGTTTGTTTACAGTTCCATCCCCATCCCTCCCCTTTTCTCATTCCCTGTGGGAGATATTTGTTGTCATGGTAACCTACTATTTTCCCCCCTTCCCCCTGTTTTCATATTTTTCTTTATGATCTATTTACAGCCATGTAGTTGCCCTCTAACCCTGCTCTGTAATGATGGTAAGATCAAGCCAAGGCAAGGACTGCTTTCCCTCCACTATTAGACAATTGCCTTTAGGAAATGGAGTCCTCCAACAGTTTGCTATCTAGTTGGTCTGAAGAACCATCCCTACATTTCTACTTCTCTCCTGGACCAATTGACTTTAGATGGGTTAGTTTGATCAGTCTGGGGGAAATGTGAAGAATTCCAAGTCCATCACTGCTGAGACCTCAGAATATGTATATTTCAGTCTGATTCTTACTTGTGATCATAAGTCTGTTGTCAGCCAACTTCAGTTTCACTGTAAGCTGGAAACTGAAATATTATCTCCCTGCTTGCCAGATCAGGTTGCATTTGTTAATGGAATAAGATAACCATTTTGAAACCTTTTCTACAGTACCTGGGGCAAAAAGCACTACGCAACATACACCACCCTATATGGATTTATTCAGGTGGACAGTGAGTATTTGGTGCCAGTTTACACATCACAAGTTCCCTCTTTTTAACTTTCATCTTCTTCAGTCTTACTCAACTTGGCATTTGTTGAATTGCAGCTCCTATCATCCACAACCAATACTGGACATGTTACCTGATGATTCAAAGAACTGTAGTCCAGTTTTCCTGAACTGAAGTTGTGGATGATGAGTACTGCAACCCAGCAGGTTTGGAAGACCCTACATGGGGAAAGATTGGATTATTATATTCAAATTGCTGCCTCTCCTGTTTTTGCAGCAATATGTAACAGGCTTCACTGCAAAGAAAGCTAGGTGCAGGGCAGAGACAGCTCCATGACTTCAGACCTGCATTTTATATAAACTCTCCAATAGCTCCTGTAAAAGCAAGAATAACTCTTGCAAAACCCAGTGTACATTCACCTCCCTGAAGTATTTGATGCCTGGTGCAGGTTTTTTATTGCTGCTGAGCAAACTGCACCCTCTCACTGCCCAGTTTAATCCAAATATTGAAATTCCATATACCTTCTTCCTTATCAAAAGCTGAAAGTTATTATTACTGAATATTGACTGTAGGATTATTATTATTATTATTATTATTATTATTATTATTATTATTATTATTATTGCTCCATGTACTTTCATATGCAATTAAGTGTATGTGCATTGGGTTCCATGACCAGGTTTCCCATGGAGCTATGTAAATTATAGTATGTGAATGCCGCATTGCTATCCATGGACCGTCCTTTTACAATCTCTACATTTTCCTAATGCATTTTGTTCACTGGTGGTTGATCATAGCAGACACATTCCCTTCCAACTTCTAGAACAAAGCCATGTGTTCTGGAGTAGTTAATGATGTAGAGCTAGATCCAGAGGCTGCTTTCCCTATGACTGTTCTTGAAGCAAGGTGCTATACTGGAAGAATTGGGGTGGGGAGGAGATCCAGTAAAACAGCAACATAGAGCACTTGGTATGTGGGAATTCAAACAATAATCACTTGATATTGGTATTGTTTGCTGTTCCACTCATGCCAATCCTACAAGTCCTCAACTTGGCATTTGGGCTAGCAGGTTTTACATAATGGAGCCTGACTTATGAATTAAGAGGTCCCAAGATTTAAATCTCATTTAGGCCATGATCTCAATAGATGGACGTAGGCAAACCTTTCCTGTTCCCACCTCAGTTTGCCATGTATAATATGACAGAATAATTATAATACTGACTTACCTTACAAGATGATTGCGAGGACTGAAACTAGATAATGAGTGAAACACTGAATATTTGGAAGTGCTATACAAATGTTAAGGAGGAGGAAGATCAATAATTTCTCTTTGTCTTGTGGATGCCAGACAGGTAATGGCACTGTAGCTAAAAATTCTGAGGAGAGCCCTCTATCTAAGAGCATTCTCTAAATAACTTTGGGAATGAATGATAGATAAGCACCAGCCTCCTACAGAGGTTTGTGTTACACCCATAGGCAACAAACTCGAAGTAGAAATGAAAGACAATTCTGATAAAGAAAAGTGCTCTGCTTCTCTCTACATAGGAAGAAGACCAACAGTAGCATTCACATCATCCTACCTTGCAGAGGTAAGGTCAGCAGCAGGAAGAATTAGTAGTCCTGGCTCTCAGTTCTTTGCAGCACTCTCCAGAGGCATTTGCTCTTCCAAAGACTGAGACAGCATTGTATCACCCAACAGTAATCAATAGTGTTTATATTTCAGGGATATCTGTTACAGCTGAGTTAATGTGATGAACTCATAAGCTTATGCATGCACAAAGACAGTTGTGTGCATGACCCTCTCAAAATCCTCTTTTGTTCTGCGATACCACCAACCCAGTTGCACCCTCCTGCTTTGAGTGAGCTCTTTCAGATGAAGTGAGAGGTTTGAACTCCATCCAAAATAAGATTAGCTCCCAGAGGACAACTACTGGAGCAGATGATCTCCTGTGTATCAAGATGCTTCTATGCCACATTATCTGAACTTGGAAAAGTTATTCTTTTACACCAACACTCTCAGAATCTGAGAACTGCCATCCAGAGTAAAGGATGGAAATAACTTAGGGAAGCACAGTTAAGGGTAGGAGAGAGAAAACAGCTGTTAGGAGCAGTGCACTGGTTTGGATGGGACAGGCTCTTAGGCACCAGCTCTCTGCAGGCTGAAGGCTTTAAAAATGGACAATTAAACAAAGTGGCTCCAAGCAAAAATGAGCCTGAAGGACAAGCTGATTTTTCAGCAAAACAATTGCTTCTTTATTAAAAAGACAGAAAAAAATAGCAGCAGAAACCAACAGAACTACTCAAGGGGGAGCAGTTTGTTGTTGTTGTTGTTGTTATGTGCCTTTAATTCAACCCTAGGGGGTTTTCTTGGAACATTTCTTCAAAGAAGACTTGCCATTGCCATCCACTGAGACTGACAGACTATGATTTGCCCAAGGTCATCCAGTGGGTTTCATGGCTCTGCAGGGATTCGAACCCTGGTCTCCAGTGTCGTAGTCCAACATTAAAACCACTACATCACAAGAAGCTAAAACTGTTCTCCTGACCAAACTAGGGGGGACTAAAGGGATGGAACTAAGCTTAAGGTACTATAAGCTAAAACATAATGTGGATTTTCTCAACCTCTAATATGGAGAAGATGACTGGGGGAGGTCACAGAGATGCAGTTCAAAAGAGAGACACAGGTCAAAGGGAAATGCAAGTCAAAGAGAGAGATTCTCATTGTGTATGTCTGTGTTTTTTAGCTTTTCCTATTTTCAGAGGTGTTCTCCTAAGAGTGAAGGGAATATTTCTGAGTGGGGCAAACATGACCTCAACATGTGCTTGCAAAATGACAGAGGTGGACCTGGCTTTCAGGTTCTGATAATGGATCTTAAGTGTTTCGAGCAAGACCACAAAATGCAGTTTTGTACACATACAAAAACCAAATGGGTGACCTTGGGCAAGTCACATACTTTCAGCCTCAGGGGAAGGCAATGGCAAACCTCCTCTGAACAACTTTTCCCAAGAAAACCCCATGACAGAGTCTGCTTCGGGTTGCCATAAGTTGGAAACAACTTCAAGGCACACTACTACTATAGCTACTACTACTATCACTACTACATACAAAAAGCCAATCAGTATAGATATTTACCTCACAATGGCTGGTGTATACCAGTCTAAGCCAGTTTGGCAGGGTCTCCATTCAGTAGAGGGGGACAAGAAAGTTAAGCATCTGTTCTCCATAAATGCAACCATTTCCTTGCCAGCAAGGGGTAGAGATGAGGGAATTTTGCAATTTAAAATTAGGTTTGGATTTTCCAAAATGGACAGAGTCCAGGCCATGGCCCTAGCTTATCCATTATGAATTTTAGACTCTGGCAACAGAGAGCTTTCCTGTCTTGTGCATCAAAGTCTAATATTCATATATTTATTGAGCATACTTCATTACACAGCTGAGTATGGGGAAACAACTCTGCAATTTCTCTTTATGGCAGTGGCTGTTTGCCATACTGGCCCTACTACTAGGCAGAGTGTATTAACCACCTGTGTTTTTTGGTACCATGAAAAGACAACAAATTTGGGGTATTTTTTAAAAATGTTTTTTCTTAGCCTGCTGGAATAAAGGAAAGGTACTTGTGTCATTTTCTGCCAAAATAATTTGGTTAAAATTAGTGACTATGAATTATGTACTTTTCTGGGGGAAGGGGCAGGATGATGGTTTCTGTTCTGCATCAGGCAGCAAAATGTCTTGTGATTGATATGCTAAAGATGCACACAACACACATCCATATGAGTAATAAATACCAAAGTCAGGTTTTAGCTGTCCTTTGAGTTCTGGGCAGATGTTTATATGTCCCTTTGGTTTCAGTGGGACTTAGGTTCCCACTGATTGGACTTAGAAGTATGAAACTGGCTGGATTGCGCCTTTAGGTGTAATGTCTATGAGCCAGACTAAGTGTTATGTTCAGTTGTGAGCTTCTTTCCACACAGGTTTGGGTACATTATAACTGAATACCAGTCTCAGAGGCTGCAACCCATTTGTCCACTGAAAACCCACATACCTGGGGCTCATTCCCACTATGATTTAAAGTGAATTGCTGATCATTTAAAAGTGCCTCATCCCCATTGAAAATGGTTTCAGATGTGACTGCGATCATTTGGATTCACTTGGAAGCAAGACAAATGGAAAAAATTGCTCTTTTCAGACACTAGTTTTTTGGCGGTTCTTTTGAAAACTAGCGATTCAGGAGCATGTTCAACAAGTGTGAACAATGGATCTGATTAGCATCCCGCCAAAGTAAAACACACACAAGTTGACAAAGCACATGACCATCGCTGAGAAAGGCGCTGTCCTGGGAGCTTTCCAGGTTGGGAGAAGAAGCAGGACTGTGGAGGTGGCTGAGAAGGGTCTGGACCATGGTGAGGAGTCCCTTCTCTCTAGCTCTTCCTCCCTCTTCTTCCTCTTCCTCCTCCTCCTTCTCATTGGAGATGGTCTCATACAGCTCCAGCATGAACTGGGGAGCAGAGTTGAGCCTCCCCCATGGAGAAGAGGCCAAAAGCAGCTGCAGCCATGACTGCCTTGGTTGCTTTGGGAAAATCATCTCTCCACCATCCTCCTCCTCTGTCCAGATCCCATGCACTGGCTGCAACCAGTGAGACAAACCCAGGATGGAGAGGATCTCCTTCTTCATCTCCCTTTTCTTGTGGGGCTTGAGGTGCTGGTAAAGGAAGCCCATCGGGGATGAGGAAGAAGAGGAGGAGGAGGAGGAGATGGGAAGCTCCTTGCCAGCTTCGCTGGGAGGGCTCTGGACCCCCGAGGTGGGCAAGGGGTTCACCTTCCTGCTCCTGCCCAGATCTTCCACTGTCGGTGATCTGAAGCTCCACACTCCTTCACCTTGGGAGATTTAGCTTCCAACAGCCGAGCCCCTTCCTAGTGGGAACTACATGGAATAAGGGCAAATTTTGCTTCCATAGTTGGAACCATGCATCGACCTCAATCAAATCCATGACCCAGTGTCAGGGCGATTTGCAAACCAATTTAAATGCAAATGGAAATAAGCCCATTTCACTCTGTTAAGTCAGGGGTGGATCCCACATCTCTCCATGTATAGAGAAATGGGGGGAAATAGCATGACATGTAATTTTCAGCAAACTACAAGAAAAGAAAGCAGCCCATCTCGTTGGCTATTACATGTTGCCCCAAAGATTGCTTTTCAGTTAAAATAAACAAAGAAACCACATTTCAAAGCAGACAACGCAAGTGTTCCCCACCCTTCATTGTTATGTACTTGTTGAATTGTGTTGATGGATGTGTTATAAACAGTCCTTAAAAC